CCCACAGACTCACCACACAGAGACCCATAGACTCACCACACAGAGACCCACAGACTCACCACACAGAGACCCACAGACTCACCACACAGAGACCCACAGACTCACCACACAGAGACCCACAGACTCACCACACAGAGACCCATAGACTCACCACACAGAGACCCACAGACTCACCACACAGAGACCCACAGACTCACCACACAGAGACCCACAGACTCACCACACTGACCCATACAGGTGTAATAAGTGTCTCCGACACGCTAAGAACTCAAGTCGTTTATTAATAAACCTTTGGCACAGCTGGTTGTCTCTTGTGTCTCTCTCTCACTGCGGAGTGATGATGATCGCTGCCCCACACCAGGGACTACTTTTAGGCCGAGTTGACCTTGGGGAGGCCCACGACCGGTTCAGATAATAGTCAACTGTTTTTGGCCGTAAAATAAAAAATGAAAATAAAAAAATAATAGAAATAATATAAATAAAATAATAAATCACGACGTTTCGGGGGCAACACAAGCTGCCTACGTCAGGTGTAAAAAGGCAGCAAAGTAACTGCACGTCGTGATTAATAATGTTATTTATTAAAAATATTGATTTATTTATTATTATTTTTCTCTACAGTAGTCTATGGGTCTCTGTGACCCCCCCCTCCGTGCGGATCGCGAATCGAGGTTAGAATCGACCGACGGCTTGCAATCGAAGTCGATTCTAACGTTATCGCATGGAGGAATCGATTGCTCTCGATCCACGGATCGATCCGACGCCATCACCGAGAACCAAATCGCAATGGAGGGAAACGCCAGCAGCTCCCAGCGAGTCGCGAAGTTGCCACCTCCTCCACCACCTCCACCACCACCTCCTCCACCACCTCCACCACCTCCTCCACCTCCTCAATTGCCTCGCGACATCAACGACCCTCCCACAGCAGCAGCGGCAGCGGAATCAGCAACAACGAAGTCAACACCCGCCACTGAGGCCTACACCGCCATGCAGCCTGCGGCCTCTGCCCAAGCCGCGTCGCATTCTGCGGGGGAGATTCAGGCGAGGGTCGGTGGCGGCGAGGAGGAGGAGGAGGAAGATGATGAAGCGATGGAGCTGCTGACCGTCATGACCGTCGATCTAATCACCGGCTACGTAGCTCACCTGACGCAACAGCCGGAGCAGCGGCGGCAGCTCCACAAGCAGCAGCAGGAGCTGCAGCAGCCTGTGCATCAGCGACTGCTGCAGCAGCGGCAGCGGCAGCTTCAGGAGGTGCAGGAGCAGCTCCCGGAGTTGCAGCGACATCTCGAGCTGGCGCAGCAGCAGCAGCGGCAGCGGGCGGAGACGCTCTGGCAGCAGCAGCTGCAGCACATGCAGCAGGTGCAGCAGCAGCTCCAGCAGGTGCAGCGGCAACAGGAGCTTGTGCAGCAGGTGCAGGAGCAGATGCAGAAGGTGCAGCGGCAACAGGAGCTTGTGCAACAGCTGCAGGAGCAGGAGCTTGTGCAGCAGCAACAGAAGCTTGTGCAGCAGCTGCAGCAGCAGGAGCTTGTGCAGCAGCAGGAGCAGCAGCAGCTGCAGAAGGTGCTGCAGCTGCTACAGGAAGTGCAGGCGCAGCAGCTGACGCATCGGTTCGAGCAGCTGCAGCTAATGCAACAGGAGCATCTGGAGCAGTCGCAGCAGTTCGAGGACCTTCAGGAGCTGCGGCGGCAAGTGCGGCAACTCCAGCGGCAGGTGCGGGAGGCCGGGGCGCAGCTGCAGACCTCCCAGCGGCTGCTGCGGCTGCGTGCGGAGCGGCTGCAGGAGGCGTTCGACACCCGAGGAGACGTCTTGCTGGC